AACCAAAAAAAAAAATTAATTAATTCTCCTCCCAGATGTCACAGGCCAGATAAAAAGTTATGAGGAAATATAGTTTTCAACAGAAGAGCAGTGTGCACGGCCGGTCAGAACTCACCCTGGCAGAAGGTGTTGAAAGTACAGAAGAAACTGCCCAGCACCCAAAAGGGCGTGAGGTCGTTCACAAGGTGGGGCCACGAGCAGGTGAGGGCAATCAGGCAGTCGGCGACGGCAAGGTTGACGATGTAGTAGTTGGTTGTGGTCTGAAATAGGCATGAAGTAAAGGCATTAGGGTAAGGCATTAAATGAAGACATGAAGTAAAGGCATGAAGTGAAGGCATGGAGTGAAGGCATGAAGTGAAGGCATGAAGTAAGGGCATGAAGTGAAGGCAAGAAGTGAAGGCATGAAGTAAAGGCACGAAGTGAAGGCATTAAATGAAGGCATGAAGTAAAGAAATGAAGTGAAGGCATGAAGTAAAGGCATTAAGTGAAGGCATGAAGTGAAGCCATGAAGTAACGGCACGAATTGAAGGCATTAAATGAAGGCATGAAGTAAAGGCATGAAGTAAAGCGCATTTTGAGACTCTAAAACAGACTACCATGTAACTCAATGGTTAAGCTTTCACAGATAAATATAGGGATTAAATATAACACACATCTTTTATCGGGCATTAAAGGGGCTAACTAAATGACTGGCGTAACTTAGACAAATTGGCAAAGCACGTGAACGTACTGAATTAAAAACAGTTTAATGGAAAAGGTAACACTGGAAATGTATAGATGACATGTGAGCTTAATAAATCTCAGCCTTATTTAAAAAAAACCACCATACACATTTGATACAAATAAGCCTACGAAAAATACCGTACACTTTCACAGGCTGTGCTATTCTCAAAGTATTTTTGCATTGTAAAATAGCCTTACAAATGACATATTAAAAAAATCCCACTCCAATCTAAGAACACCCCAATCCAATCGTTTCAAATGAACTGACAACATCAGCTGCTGCAGTATATGTTTATAGAACTTAATATAAGAAAAAGGTTTAAAAAATACATGCAGTTTTAAATGTGATACCGAAATTTTTTTTTGGGGAACATAATCTGAAATAGCAAGTCTGCATGTGACCGGGAAAATACATGGCAGCACTATGACGATGATTTCTGCAAAAAATTGTTAATTTTGTTCACAGCTTTCCAGATATAAATAAGTTATTCTCGACAGTCAGAGTTTCATAGGTGATTAATGTAGAATTCTTTCTATTAAATGGACGTAAAGTCTGCAGAGACAAGACCCCCCAACCCCCCCCCCCCACCCCAGTCCTACGAACGCGTATGCAAAAATCTCCTAAAAATGGACCACCCAACTTTTTTTTCTCTTTCAATGCGTTCGTACTTTGTGGCTGGCACCTAAACTTAAAGAGCTGTTGGTCTGTCTCATGAAAGCAATCGGATGTTATGTATGAAATATTTCATAAAAATAAATAATTAGCCCCTATAGACAACCAACCGAACAAGGCAACTAAACTCTCGTTAACACACACACACACAGAAGCACACATAGACACACACAACAACAAACACACTGAGTCCAAAAAAACAACAACAACTACCTGCTGACTAAACCATTCTCACCTGCATTCACTAAACCACTCTTACCTGCATTCACTAAATTACTCTCACCTGCATTCACTAAAACACTCTCACCTGCATTCACTAAACCACTCTCACCTGAATTCACTAAACCACTCTCACCTGCATTCACTAAACCACTCTCACCTGCATTCACTAAACCACTCTCACCTGCATTCACTAAACCATTCTCACCTGAATTCACTAAACCACTCTCCCATGCATTCACTAAACCACTCTCACCTGCATTCACTAAAACACTCTCACCTGCATTCACTAAACCACTCTCACCTGAATTCACTAAACCACTCTCACCTGCATTCACTAAACCACTCTCACCTGCATTCACTAAACCACTCTCACCTGCATTCACTAAACCATTCTCACCTGAATTCACTAAACCACTCTCACTTGCATTCACTAAACCACTCTCACCTGCATTCACTAAACCACTCTCAACTGAATTCACTAAACCACTCTCACCTGCATTCACTAAACCACTCTCACCTGCATTCACTAAACCACTCTCACCTGCATTCACTAAACCACTCTCACCTGCATTCACTAAACCACTCTCAACTGCATCAATAAAATACTATCACCAGCATTCACTAAAACACGCTCACCTGCATTCACTAAACCACTCTCACCTGCATTCACTAAGTTACTCTCATCTGCATTCACTAAACCACTCTCACCTGCATTCACTAAACCACTCTCACCTGCATTCACTAAAACACTCTCACCTGCATTCACTAAGTTAACCACTCTCACCTGCATTCACTAAGTTACTCTCATCTGCATTCATTAAACCACTCTCACCTGAATTCACTAAACCACTCTCACCTGCATTCACGAAAACACTCTCACCTGCATTCACTAAACCACTCTCACCTGCATTCACTAAACCACTCTCACCTGCATTCACTAAGTTACTCTCACCTGCATTCACTAAAACACGCTCACCTGCATTCACTAAGCTACTCTCACCTGCATTCACTAAAACTCTCTCACCTGCATTCACTAAGCTACTCTCACCTGCATTCACTAATCTACTCTCACCTGCATTCACTAAAACATAAAACACGCTCACCTGCATTCACTAAGCTACTCTCACCTGCATTCACTAAAACTCTCTCACCTGCATTCACTAAGCTACTCTCACCTGCATTCACTAATCTACTCTCACCTGCATTCACTAAAACATTCTCACCTGCATTCACTAAGCTACTCTCACCTGCATTCACTAAGCTACTCTGACCTGCATTCACTAAGCTACTCTGACCTGCATTCACTAAGCTACTCTCACCTGCATTCACTAAGCTACTCTCACCTGCATTCACTAATCTACTCTCACCTGCATTCACTAAAACATTCTCACCTGCATTCACTAAGCTACTCTCACCTGCATTCACTAAGCTACTCTCACCTGCATTCACTAAGCTACTCTCACCTGCATTCACTAAGCTACTCTCACCTGCATTCACTAAGCTACTCTCACCTGCATTCACTAAGCTACTCTCACCTGCATTCTTTTATTCTTGGCCACGACGACGAGGATGATGACGTTGCCGATGATGGCGAAGATGATGGCGGGCACGTACGTCAGCGTCTTGAGCCAGATCTCCCACATGGGCTTGTAACTGATGGGCTTGGGGTAGAGGTGCTGGGACTCGTCAAACTGGCCCGTGGTCGAGTCATTGAGGAGCTCCATGGAACCGTTGCCCAACCGCTGGACCGTCTGATTGACCACGAGCTCGATGGTCATGTTCTGGGTCATGAGCAGAATGAAGGGCAACGACCCGCGGACCATCTGGGGCGCGTCAGTGGGTCGTTGGCGGGTCGTTGGTGGGTGGTTAGTGGGTCGTTGGTGGGTCGTTGGTAGGTGGTTGTTGGATAGTTGGTTGGTCGTTGATGGGACGTTGGTGGGACGTTGGTGGGTGGTTGTTGGATAGTTGGTGGGTCGTTGGTGGGACGTTGGTGGGACGTTGGTGGGTGTTACCTTGTGGTGGCAAATGCAAGCTTTGGGTCCAGGTTAGCCTGTGTCGGTATCCTGATCTATCGAATAATGACCCGCCCGGGGGGGGCTGGGGGGTATGCCACTTAAATAAAATACCGAAGATGGAGTGTCTTGTTGCAGACTACAGCAAACCCAGGCGTCATGGAATTATAAACCTCTAGTACACCACTAAATAAACTCGCTTGCTGGCCTAAACTTTTTGATGAAAAAAAACAACAACAAAAAAAAACCTATTGGTTCGTTTTTTTTCTTCTCTAAGTTAGATTCAACTGAAGGGTGTTCTAACGTAAAGTATTCATTAGGTGTTTTTTAAAATAAATCAATTTATCAACAACACCGCTTAAACAGGGTGTATCACGTGATGCCTCAAGAAGGTCACACACACACACAGAGCTCGGTGAATTGCTTAGACAACGCGCGGTCAAAGTTGCCTGGGGTCACAGAACACCCACCGGGCATCAATGTATCTCCTCATTAAAAGCTCTTAATTAACTCGATGCTTAGAGATCTATATTCTATATTCTATACTCTATCGAGTCACTTGAGAGTGGAATAAATAACTTTTTTTTATGTATTTTATTTTTACTATGTATTCTGGAGCTAATGAGCACAGGTCTAATAGAATATCGATCTAAATAATTATCTATCGCAATGCGTATTTACACCAATCTACGCTGTGCACGCGAAACGTGACCTGACCTTGCGCGTGTCCTGTAAGACGCCTCGTGGTATCTAAACCTACCCATGTCCTCTATCAAGGTCATACACGCGAAATTCCCCTCCTGCAAGAAAGCACACGGAGAAAACCGTAAGCTGGCACGTGGCTCTACTGCAGCACCACAAACTGATGTCTTGGTCAACTCTTAACTGCAGCACCACAAACTGATGTCTTGGACAGCTCTTAACTGCAGCACCACAAACGGACGTCTTGGTCAGCTCTGAACTGCAGCACCACAAACTGATGTCTTGGTCAGCTCTTAACTGCAGCACCACAAACGGACGTCTTGGTCAGCTCTTAACTGCAGCACCACAAACGGACGTCTTGGTCAGCTCTTAACTGCAGCACCACAAACAGATGTCTTGGTCAACTCTTAAAATCCTTCACCAATTGGCTATTCTCAACTAAAAATAGGTTGTTGTTAAAATTCTCATTCATCGCAAATCACAGAAGGACGAAACATTTTTTTTTTAGTGAGTTTGGTTGTAATGTCGTACTAACACACTTCGTCCCTGGTCCACCTCACCACCAAAGTCACCAGCGTTATCCAAATATTGTCCAGCTACTAAATTAATCCCCCTCAAGAAATGCGTGTAGAAACGGTCGTCGACTGTGCTCCTTAATCCAGGACAAATAGATCCATGTCTGGGTTTAATTAGTCCCCCCGGCTCTCAGCTCCCCAGGCCACAAGATCTGGAGGACTCAGTGAGGGGCCTGCCCGACATGTAAACACTCTCCAAACCTCTCAAGGCGCGTGCCGTTAAAGTAAACAAACTGCATGATGTTTATCATTTTTAAACTTTAAAGAGAGAGAGAGGAGTAAATTTGAAGGAAAGCGGTATCTATGGATTATACACGGGGCGACCAATTTGTATATCATAAGAATAACTGTTTTAATTT